AAGCTAAGATAGGGCTGTAAAGGCGGAAAGGCAAACGCTTGGAGAGAAAGGACCATAAGGTGGAGGGGAGGGGCTCCGTTAAGTATCAAATGAGATGACTGCCGAAAATGCATTTTGTAAACCATCCAGTCCTGACCTAAAATCGTTGTTTTTATTAATGAGCGGGGGATTGAACTGAGGCCACCGGTGAGAGAGCAAATAATACCTAAAGAAAGAGTTCTCAAGGAGGAAATTTTATGTAGAAAATCCCATTCCTCCTGAGAACTTGTGTCAAAGCCAAGCTTCGGGTTCAGTGAGGAGATCCGGGAGCAGTGTTGCGCTTCACTCGGAACTGACCTCACGGAGGCAGCAGCGAGCAGGGTACCGGGAGGATGCCAAGGCTGCTTAGAGCGGAGAGGAAGTCCAGTCCCAGATGTGAGGGGGCCTCGGGCTCCACCTCTCTCCTCCGCCAGCCAATCAGGATCCAGCTGGTCGGAGGATTACGCTAGGGAGGAGGGCGGAGCCAGAGAACCGTTATTTAGGCAGCGTTATTGATTTGATTCCTTTCCCTAAGCAGGAAATCGGATAAACTGGTATGGCCACACTACGGAATACTATTCAGTAATAAAAAGGAACTACCAACTGACACGCACAGCAACGTGGATGAATCTCAAAATCATCATGCTGAGTGAAAGAAGCCTGTATGCACAAGAATACATATTGTATAATTCCATTTATATGATGTCCTAGAACAAGCTAAAATAATCTGTGATGAAAACAAAATCAGAATAGGGGTTGCCTGAGGACTGAGGGTGGGGATTGATGCAAGGGGGCATGAGGGAACTTTCTAGTTGATGATAATGTTCTTAAAACTTTGTGCAGTGAAGGAAATGCCTTGTTTCTGTGCTGTCCAATAGGGTAGCCACTAGTCACATGTGGTTATTGAGCACTTGAAGTGTGACCTTTGTAAATGAAATATTGAATTTTTAATTTAATTTCATTTTAATCACTAAAATTAGCCGCATGTGGCTAGTGGCTACCCTATTAGCACAGCTCTATATCCTGATAAGAGTCTAGGCCTCACAGGTATATATGTCTGTCAAAACTCCTCTCACAGGGCCTGGCGAGTGGCGCGGTGGTTAAGAGCTGGCTTGGGACAACAGAGGGCCGCTATTCAGACCCCACATATGAGGGCCAGTGACACTACCTTCCACAGCTAAGATGCTGAACAACAGCTCAACCTGGAGGTGGGCTGCCCTGAGTCGCCTTCGATGGTATAGGCTGCAGCCCCTGCTGCAGTGGGTTGCCATGGCCAGCAGCCAGCATGAGCAGCCATCCAGAAGCCAGTGACTGATCTGCCTTGCCTGGGAAGAGCGCAATGATGGTACCAACTTGGGCCAGTGAAGCAACGTCCTCCACAACTAGACTGAAGAACAAAACGACAGCAACTTGTCTGTTCCCCTTCCCCCAATTCCCCAGTGCTGTTCCCATCGCCCAATTCCCCAATAAAAAAAATCTTTAAAAAAAAAAACCAAAAAACTCCTCTCACAATAAGCCTAAGATTTGTACATTTCACTATGTGCAAAATTTACATTAAAAAGGTAAGCATAAATTCTAGTTAATGCTATGTGTGTTGAAATGTTTAGATGTGAAATGTGCCATTGTCTGCAACTTTGAAATGCATAACAAAAAATAGATTGATGAATGGAGGGATGGCTAAATTGTGAGACATGTGATTAAAAAATCAGCAAAATACTAATTGTAGAATCTTGGTAGTAGATATATGGGTGTTCACTGTAAAAGTCTTTCAACCTTTCTGTATATGTTGGAATATTTTCAGAATAAATGTTGGGGGTACCAGGGGCTGAGAGGAGAGAAAAATGGGAAGTTATTATCTAATAGGCACAAAGTTTCTGTTTGGTATGATGAAAATTTTCTAAAAATAGATAATGGTAATGCTTATATATTTGAATGTTCTTAATGACAATCAATTGTACACTTAAAAATAGTCAAAGTGGTAAATTTTATGTTATGTACATTTTACAATTAAAAATGTTTGAAAGCCAAAAAAAAAATGTTGGGAGAAAATCCATGTGGAAACCTCCTTGCTTTCTCTAGAGGCAGTCTGGGTGGGGTACTGCACAGAGAGAAAGGGGGAAAGGAGCAGGCTGTGTGAGTGTGCTAGGCCAGCTTGGAGTAGAAGGTAGTGGGAAGAGAACACAGGCTTTGGAAATCAATAGACCTAGGTTCATAATCCCAGCTCTTTCACTTTCTAGCTGTATAACTGTATTTGTTTCTTATTGCTATTGTTGCTTTAACAAATTACCACAAATTAAGTAGATTAAAATGACAGAGATTTACTGTCTAGCAGTACTGGAGATCTGAAATGTGCCTTGGGCTAACATCAACAACGGAATTCCTGGAGACTCTATGGGGGAACCCACTTTCTTGCCTTTTCCAGCTTCTAGAAACCTCTTGTAATCTTTGGCTTGCCTCATGGCCTTTTCCTCCATTTTCAAAGCCAGAAATAACATCTGCAAATCTATCTGTTTCCCTCTCTCTCTCTCTCTCTCTCTCTCTCTCTCTCTCTCTCTCACACACACACACACACACACACACACACACACACACACACACACCCTCTGCTTCCTTGTCACATCTCCTTCTCTGACTTTCCTGCTTCCCTCTTTCCCCTATAATAACCCTGAGGTTCCCAACCAGACAATCTAGGATAATCTCCCCATCTCAAGATCCTTAATTTATTACATCTGCCATGTAAGGTAACATATTCACAAGTTCTGGGGATTAAGACATGGACATCTTGGGGGAGAGGCATTTTTCTGAAATTTTATGCTACTGGTACTCATATGTCAAGACTACACTAAAGAGGGAAAATATAGTTCTTGTGATTTTTCCCTAACAGTTTTATTGAGATATAATCCACATACCATACAATTTACCCATTTAAAGAGAACAATTCACAATGATTTTTAATATAGTCACAGTTGTGCAATCATCACATTTTCCTCTTTTTCCCATTTTTTTTACATATGAGGGATAAAAGGCTTGAGGCATTAAGAAATTGTGCATAGAGTAACTTCTAACCACAGGACTGGGGCATTGCAGTGGCTGTCAGGAGCTGAGATTCCAGTCCAGGCCTGGATTCCCTCCATGAAGACCAATCTCCTGGAAGCACTGTGTTATAGTAGTGAAATATGCAGGTGCTTAGGCCAGGTTAGACTTGAGTTCAAGGCTTTGTTTTTGCTATCTACAAGCTAAGCGACCTTAGGTAAAATCTCTTGGAGCTTTGGTTTCCTTATTTGCAAAATGAGGACACTTAAATAAATGGGGGGGGGGGCCTCTAGACTCACTTGTATGATCCCTCCTAGCTATGTAATTCCAAGCTTCACTGAGGGGGAAAAAAGGTAATTAAAAATAAATTCCCAAGCATCCAGGGCAACAAGAGGGATACGAATTTCCTGAAGACAGGATCACTTGTACTCCAAGCTTCCTTTGTATTTTGAGCACCTGACACAGGTCTCAGAACTCCTCCCTGATGGGCCTCAGCTGGGTGGGAAAGACAATGCGTAAAACGATCCTTATAAAGGCAGAGAAAGGTGGGAAGAGTTGACGGGCGGGGGCAGCGGCTGCGGCCGAAGTTGGAGTGCTCTGCTCAAGAGTGGGCAATGATCCTGCGAGTGGAAACAGGTGGGAGGGATCAGAGGCAGCCCTTTCCTAAGGCCAAGTTAAGCCGCAAGGTGAGGGCTAGATGGGAGCGGGAGTGTGTTGGAGCGACGGTACTGAAAATAAATTTTCAGACTCCC